GCGGCCTGCGGGCGGGCGGCCCCCATGGCCGGGCAGTTCGACTCCGAGGACCGGGCGAGCTGGTACTGGGGGCGGCTGAGCCGGGCCGACGCGGTGTCGCTGCTGCAGGGGCAGCGCCACGGGACCTTCCTGGTGCGCGACTCCGGCACCATCCCCGGCGACTACGTGCTCTCGGTGTCCGAGAGCTCCCGCGTCTCGCACTACATCGTCAACAGCCTGGGGCCGGCGGGAAGCCGGCGGGCCGGCGGCGAGGGCCCTGGGGCCCCGGGTGAGTGACCCCCAGGGCTGGCGGTGCCCCCCAGCCCCTGCCGCCCCGGGGCGGGCAGCTGGAGCCCAGCCCCGGTCTGCGCCTCCCCACGGGCGGCTCCGCTCGCCTGCCGGGCGGCGTTTTAAGTCGTGAAGCTCTTTGTAGCGGAATTAAGTGGCGTTTTCGGAGCTGGGGCTACGGAGTGAGCTGAGCCGCCTTGTCTGCACCTGCCTTCCAGCGACCTGCTCTCGTGCTTTAACGTAACGCTGGAGCTGAGCGCTTATCGCAGCCCTCCCGAACGGTCCTGCAACCGGAGCGCTCGCCCCTTCTTTTGTTTTCATAAAGCAGTTGACTAGAGTTAACAATTCCCTATGTCAGCTCAGCCGGGGGACGGTTCTGTGGAAGTGTCATCTGAAAGTCTAAACTCTGACAAGATAGCTGTGCGTTAGAAGGCAGGCAGTGAGGCTGAATTTCAAGTCACGAGTCAGAGTATTACGTGGGAACTCTTCAGGACTGTAAAGGCAATTGTTCCTTTAAATCAGATGTGAAATTTAATTGTTTTTTTTTCCCCGTGTGTTAAAAGGGAAGGTTTTATATTCCTCATTAACCTAACAATTAATATGAAAGCAATGTGTTAAGTGTAACGCTCACAGAGCAGAAGGTACTGATTGTGTCAGAGGGAAAACTACCCTGCGAAGCAGCATTTCTGCAAGTACAACTGTAATTAAATGAGCAGGAGCCCCCAGCCATGTGGTGCCCTTTAGATGTGTAAGAACGTGAAGTGCAAAGGCAGCGGTATCCCTGCTGGGGACATTGCCGAAGTTGGTAGTGGAACTGCTCAAGTTTGGATATTAATGCTTGCAAAATGATGTGGGTGTACTGGTAGCATCTCAGGAGGGAACCACTACGTAATTTTGAAGTGTAGTAAACCTATATAATAAGAGATTTGGTGAAATTATTTGGCAGAAAGTAAACAGTGTATGAATTGCTACAGAGACAGTCACTTTCTGATGTTGATCTATGATTGGAGTAAGAGACCTATATTGGGAAGATGCAACAGTGCTTGTTAAGGAAAGGATTTTTCAGTCTCTTCACAGACCGTAGTTGACTAAGAAGGAGATAATCTAAGAAAAGATGAAACTGTTGCCAGTAGGTTTGCATCGTTATATGGTAATTTTCTCTACTCAGGGGAACATTTCAAATTGGCAAATTTGGGCAAGCCTGCAGTCATCATGTGTATGCCAGGAATCTACTGCAGCTGCAGAGTGCACTCCGGTCACAAAAAGCTCCACAAGGTAGAAGTTAAAGGTGGCTGCATTCAGCTGGAAGCAAAGTGGAAGTTGTTACTGCCGCAGGTAGTAAAATGCTTTGCTGCAAGATGTGGTGGATTCTCTGTTGTTTCGTGTTTGTGAAGACAGAGGTTTATTGCTGTAGGTTTGCAGAGGCTTGATGCAGGGATTGTTGAGGTGTGTGACTGGTGTTACGTTTAGCAGGATAAGTTACCAGGATGGTTTGCTGTGCAATGAGATTCTGAAGACAGTAGTGATGAGAACCAGTGGAGTATGTGTGCCTGTCACTTCTGGGCTGTTGTTTTCTGGAGAGCAACTCATCTCTGGAAAAACATTGTGTTTTTCATGTTATTGTGGCATCACTTTAGTACATACCCAGCCTAACTCTTTCTTGTCTTATGTTCTTAAGCTTAGTAACGTTTTGTAGCATTTATGGGCTGGCTGATGTTGTGCCCGTTAAAAGATTCTGGAGTTTTGGTGTTCTTTTAAAAAACAAAATCAGTAAATGCCCCTTAGGTAATTCCTTTCTGTTTTAAATGTTAACGGGTTTTAGAAGAGTAGCTGCTATTTTAACTGTGTAGGCTGTTGGCACAGTAGGCTTAATATATGTTAAAAAGTATAATTATGTTTTGGTTGGTGTCTCTTTTTTTTTTTTTTTTCCCCACCCTCCTGCATGTTATGAGGATAGGTGATGCCTCATTCCTGCACCTCAGATACTACTGTGTTGGGATTTTAGTAGTTTTAAATAAATCATGCCTCTGTGCTGATACTGCTCTTTTTTCACACTCAAAGCAAAGAAGGTGCGGGGGTGTCTGTATATTAAATTACACTTAAAGTGTAATTAAGTTTTTCTTTCAGTAAAAAACGAAGTGGGGGGATGCTCTGCGATGGGAGGGAGGTGGAAACATTGGTAGAGGATTGAAGATGGTTTCACATTTGGATAGGGAAGCTAAAGCAGTAAAATTGCAAATTGTCATGCTTATTTATTGTGGTCGAGCTAAAACATTAGGAAGAGGAACTTTACTATGTTAATCATATGGTATAGCTTTTTGGTTTTTAGTGACTGCTTGTTTGGCAAATGCACGCTTATTGGGAAATCTGAATATGCCAGATCAGGTTGTTAGGTTGATTTTTGTTAGTCTGGGTAATTGTGCATGCAATTCACGATTGCTTTAACACTGTGTGCAGGGGATACTGGCTTGATACAGAATGAATGAGATGAGGAGCTTTGGCTTCCCTAATATAAAAAGCCATAGTGTTGCAAAACCATGATTCTTTCTTCCATTTCTAAAGTAAAAAAAAAACTTCCTCACTTTTTGTTAAATTCACCTTTTGCCTGATATGTTGCAGTTTCTAACTTCTTGCAGGTGATTTTTCAGCATAAGGAAGAAAGAACTTAACAGAACTTCTCAATATAGCTACGTCTTCCTGAAATGTTTTAAGGCCGTTAAAAGAAAATAGGATAAATCACTGAATTATGGGAAAGAAAAACACTCTGTTTCCAGTGGAGATGGGGATTAACATCTGAATTGGAATTAGGGTTATCGTTTGTGACGAAATATCACAGTCACGGGCTAAAGAAATCCCAAACAAGACAAAGTGCTCTATGCAGGCATTAGCATGGTAACGGACAATAGAGGAAATATTTAAATACATCATATGTTTGCAATTTGACATATGAATCCAGGGTAAAAATGTATGATATGCACTAAACTGAAATGCCTAAAATATCTAAAGAAAGATATGCTTTCCATTGAAAGTACAATGTAATGAAGGCAGAAACCTTATAGTGTTGTAAAATTTGTCTCTCTAAAGTAGGAAGGTATGACAGATACAGTGCAGAAGGTGGTGTTTTCACTAAGTTTACCAATGCTTAGGAATAAAGGGAAAACTGCCTCGTGGCACTAACACAACTGGAGTGAAGAGAGAAATGTAAAACCCCTGAGATGTCTAAGAACATGAGAAGTTGCTTTGTGGTTACGCCACCTGCCCACACTCTCAAGAAGTAGAATATTAGGTGTTTTATACCTCTGCTTCACTGCTATCTGTACAATATTTAAAACATACATAAGCAATCTTTTCCAGACTGACATGAAGCCAACACAGTGTTAAAGTGTTTTGTTGGGAGGGAATGTGCATCATAAACAGAGAACTGACAGGGTCCAGATTTGAAACTTTCTTTAATTCTGGGATGCTTTGAATTTTAACTCTTTCCTCACCTTCCTGAGAGCGGGGGTTTCCCAAGCTGTCCTGACATGCTGAAACGGATGGAATCAGGTTAAGTCCAAGTGCAGATGGAGCTGAGATGGAGTATGTAAGAAAGATGATACTCAGCCCTTTGTCCTTCTCGTTCAAAGGAATCATCTATGGAGCTGAGTGGCTCTTCTTCCTTTGGCTGTGCCGAGCTGGGGAGAAGGGAAGAGAATTTCTGGTACTCTGCTTGTCCGACTTTAATAGGAAGTGACTAAAGTTCCTCCAGTAGCTGGACTTACCTTTACACGCCTTCTCCTCTTCCTGAGAGCCCTCAGCAGATGCGGTCATTGTGCTGCTTAAACTGGTGCCTTCAAGAAAACTGTCCCAGAATCATGAAGGGCAACAGCTCTGCTTCTCCGAAAAACACTTACGGTGTTGCTGTAACTTTTTCTTCTGGTAGATCTTGCCTTAATTTTTCCATTGGCCTACAGGTTTGAGAAGTGTTGCAGTTCAAACAAGAAGCTGAAGAATTCCTCTGAGCCCAAAATCTGTTACCCTTTGAATTTCATTATACCAGGGAATGACAAGACTTTGGAGCCCACAGTGAATAGAATAATTTTCCTGCTACTTAAATGGGCATCCTTCAGCTCGATACCTTGTTGCTGAACAAGAGTTTACACAAAAGACTTAAACTAATGCAAAGTTTCCCGCATGTTGGTAAGGTGTAGTTGTATTTTATTTCCAACCGGTGACTTTCAAATATTTTGTCCTTTTTATTCCTATTTTAGCTGAATTTGGAAGTTTTCTGTGTAAATTCTCCAGTTACCTGGTTGCTGCCTTTATTTCCACTGGGAATTAATTTGGATTAAGCTTGTAAATTTCTTGTTGCAAAGAGGTTTTCCAGGCCTTAGATTTTTGTAGCTGTGTTGTGGGATTTTTTTTTAAACAAAAGCTTCAGAAGTGCGTGTGCTATTCTGGGAGTGTTCTCTTTGTGGAGGCAATGTCTCTCCTTTCTGCTTATCTGTCCCTTCAAGGGATCTTTCTGATCCTAGAAT